AAAAAAAAAAGTCTGTCTGTCAGGAAATATACCTAATTCTTCCAAGACCGCTTCTCCATGACCACCTTTAAAGATGAGCAGTATTTTTTGTTTGTAGTAAAATATATGTGACAAATATATATGTATGTGTAACATTTTCAGTTTTTTAAGTGTCTAATTTAATGACATGAATTACATTCACTATGTTGTTATCCCACTCCACACCTAGAAGTTTTTCTTGGCCCCAAACTGAAACTCAGTACCCTTTAGACCAGTGGTTCTCAACCTTCCTCAAGCCGTGACCCTTTAATACAGTTCCAACATAAAATTATTTTCATTGCTACTTCATAACTGTAGTTTTGCTACTGTTATGAATTGGGCGACCCTTGTTAAAGGATCGTTCGCCCCCCCCAAAGGGGTCATGACCTACAGGTTGAGAACCGCTGCTTTAGGCAGTCAGTATTCATTCCTCCTCTCAGCCTCTGGTAACTACTAAGAAATTTGTTTCTAGATGAACAGTATCATTTTGTAAGGTGAGTATTTTGGGGCCATATCTGAACCTGGAAGACGTCAGGTTTTTGAACTTGCCAGTTTTCAAACCTTGTTTGAATGTTGTGTGACATCTAGCTACCTTTTGTTCTAAGAAGAAAGTTCAGTTGGGTCTCTTCATACTTAGTATATATCTGAATGGATACATTATTATTTTCTGACAGCCTATTACTAGCTCTCCACCCAAATGGATGGCTGAAATAGAACGCGATGATATCGACATGTTGAAAGGTAAGTGATTGTGACGACCTCTGAGATTTAAACTGACATTTATGCCTGTCCATAAATCATTACTTGTCCATCTTTTTTCTCACTGTTCCCTTACATGTGTTCTCAGCTTCAATAGAATTGCCCATTTAACCATCTTTATTCATAGTTCTTCTTGCCAGAATGTCTTTCTTGATTTTTTTCATATGTCAACTTACCTGCCAATTTAACTTAGTCATGGTCATTTCATCTGCTGCTAAAATTGTAAAATAATAACTCTTTGTATAAAGCTTTACAATTAGCAGAATGGTTTCACATAGTTTCTTATTTAATATTCTCATAGAGGACTGTAAGTGAGGTATGATATCCAGAATTCAGAGGTGGGCTTAAACCAACATTTGTACAGAAGAATTAACATTCAAATTCTGATCTTTTATGTTATTTCTAATTTTCTCTCTTAACTGCCACGTTTTTTGAAGTGCTATTAAATGAAAATTCTTTAGTGAGTTAATACCTCTCTTTTGTTTCTTTATCTTTTTTATTTCTTCCACAAAGAATACTATAAGCAGGAAATATTGTTGTTTGATAAGTGAGTCAGAACCTAATCACACAAATGGAAATTTAAATAAGAAAACATTACACTTCTTTGATATCTGGAAATTATTTCTTTATTTTTTAATTATTCCTCTGCTGATAAGATTCATAGTAGTTGTGAAGTACTAAACTGAAGTTAAGGTAAAAACTTGAATTCTTGAGTTATTTAAGACACTGAACAAAACAAAAACTATCTACTTAGGCCAGCTATAATGACTATGACCTGATCAGTGGGAGAAAAAAAACACCTTTATTTGATTTCAGAAGTAATTCATTGTTCTGCTTAAAATGTTTAAATGTAGATATTTAAATCCCCTATTTCACTTATGGAAAATTTAAGCTTCACGGATGTCTCCAGCTCTTTATTCTAATGTTCTAAAAAGAGTGTATAACATCACATCAGCATATAGTTACAGGAAACTTTAAATTTCAAGTAAAAGGCCATTGTATTGTGTTACATGCAAATTAACCTGTGTCCTAAACCTAAAGAGAATTGGTGCTCTTTAAATAAGATCTGGAGAACCCACTCTCTTCCTCTAACTGTAGCGGCCTGAGGTGACCTGCCAAAATGGTTCGC